TTTTGATTCTGAGACAATTCAGCAGAAGAAGCARCCTTTAGAGCACAGAATAACGCTACCAGCACAAGAGAGAACATATTAGCGGCACTGCGGTTTACTCTAAACAGCGTCGGTCGCTCTTTGTATTGATATTTATAGAACAGTATTCATTGAACCAGCTGGTTTGATCAGTTGCGCACAGCATAACACGATTTTTATTGCACAATTTGCTTTGTATGTTCACGTGATCAGGTGATGTACTCACAGACTGTGCGGTGTTTATTCTCCGGCACCTCTACGCGTTAACAAACACAGGTATAAACAAGGGGTTTCTTAGCTTCATTCGAGTAAAGAACGTTAAAATAACAAATACATCACGTAGATGGTCGGCCTTTCAATACATTCTAACAATGATTACATATGTTCTTGTAGGAAATGTTCGTCACCACAAAGACCTCTGGGAACGGATTGATACTACATGTGGAAATTCGTTAAGAAAAGTAACAAGTCTAGTTCTTTTCAGTGATATATAAATACAAACATAAGCGCGAGCTCCTATATGCACCATTAATATTACCCCATTACTGTCCACATTATAATGTATTAATAGTCATCAATAGTCTTAATGGATTAAGAATCAAATAAACCCTTTTAACGATCACGACTTTCCATACTCAGGTTCAGAGACCATGAACAAAGCATTGAACCGAGGCGTCAAGGTACAGTGAACATAAAAGAAAAGATCTGTGATCAGTGTTCCTTGACGCCTCGGTTCAATGCTTTGTTCGTGGTCACTGAATCAGCGTATGGAAAGTCGTCGTGAATTCTTTATTTAGAAAAAGAAAATATGAGAATAAAAGACAATGAAAATAGTTAAGGGAAATCTCTCACGAGTTTTATCGAAATTTCTGCATAAATATAATTACACACAACAGCTCTGCACTATTATCATAATAATAATAATAATAAATAATCATAATCTAATAGCTTATAGTAGCGCATTTTCATGACTAATAAAGTGATCGATTCAGGCACTTTTAAGTGCATTTTAAAAAATGCGCTTATCACCTTTCGGAAATATGGGAAAAAATCTATTATCACGAAAAAAGTATTTTTTTGACGTCACACTTTAGAACTCTATATAGTTCCACTCGAACTGTATGACGACATATACTTTATTACCGTGTCCCATGAAAAAGACCTGCGGCACGGTTATAAAATGTAGCGATTTCATTTATTTTTTTTTCCAATGTCGCAGTTTAGCAACTCCGAGGGACCCACAGGTTCCCATGTCAATTCGACCCTCGAGCACGTCTCAAAAATTCTTTCTATTTTCTTTCTTTTTTTGCCTGAAATATAGTTGTTCTAGTCATGTTAGTTTTCTATTGTAGCAATTTCTTTCACGTCAATGTTTATACGAGCCATTTGTTAAATTTTAGAAACAAGATGATACTCGAACAGCGGTGTCTAACTGAGGATCGCGGGTTCGACTTGTTTTTTTCTTTCTTTCTTT